GAACCACGTTTTCCTGCCTTGTTGATTTCTTTAGGTTGCACTGTTATCATGGGAAGATGTCTTTCAAACCATTTATCCGAAGCCAAATTGTGTCTAAATGCTCAGGCACATGAGATGCGCTCCCCACGGGCCCTCTAGCTTAGGAAATGTGGATTGTTTGAGGGGGTGGGGAGGGAGGGAGGGAGGGGAAGAGAGAGAGATAGAGAAAAGCAAGAGAGAAAAGCAAAATAATTAGTTAGAGTGCTGTTTGATCACTAAATGTCAGTTGAAATATGACCATCTTTAGAAGCAAACAATCCACAAGATGCTTCGGCCTCCTGAGTTAAGACACGCCCACAGTCACCTGTGACACCTACAGAGAACCTTATCTCATGCAAGAGGGCACCTCTGCATCATGTCCTTGTTGTACTCAGCACCCCAGATACTAAAGAGTTCCCGGCAACTATCAGTATTGAGTTCTCTGCTCTCCATCCTTCTACAAAATCTCGTTGGGAACCACACACATGCATAGCTTTGGTGCTACTGTTAAGTCCTGGCAAATTCGTTCCCAGCCTTTTCGTGAGGACGTCATGGTCACAGGCCCAGAGATGAAGCACCAATTCCCTAGACCTTTCCTATCAATGAGGCCTGGAGAAGACATTCAAATTTCCCCGAACCTGCAACCAGTCGCTTTCATCATCTAATTGTTGCAGCCACATTAAATCCATCTGACTAACGGTGAAATTGCTCTCTTCCGCTAAGAGGTCTTACCCATCAAGTGGCAGAATCACTAATAAGTTCTCGGACACTTGCCTAGTTGCCCCGTCTTGGGGGGCTGGTTATGAGGAAATGCTTGAACGCTCCCCTAGAGATTCTGACGTTGACTGTTGATCAAATCTCACTTTCTTAAATTGGACTAGAAACACTGGAGACAAAAGGAATCTCCCCTCAGGAGAGGGGTGGACAGTTACAGGGTATGAACAGGATACAAGGCATTGTCTTAGAAGCCTTGATGTCATTTAAACACGTTCACAGGGTCACGAGGAGTCACAGTGGACTGGACAGCACCACACAACAACAATATAATCTTAAGTGACATGCAGATGGCACAGGGCTGGGCAGCATTTTGTTTCCCAAGGAACACCGGGTTTACAGATGCTGAAGGAAACCAGAACCTCCTTCCAGAACCCCAGAGCCAGTATCCCAAATGTGGGCTTTTTAGCCTCTAAACTCTAAGTGAATACGTACCTGTTTATTAAAGGCATCTGCTTGTGATATCTCTATTTCAGCAGCACTGGGAACTTGGGGCTTACTCATGGAACCCGGGCTTTCCTTGTACCTGGTCTAATCACCGAAATGTACCCATCAGTGTGTACTGTCTGCAGAGATACCCACACAAATATGTTTCCACAGATTGTTCATACTCACAATGACTGAAAACAACCTCAAGGGCCATCAAGAGGGGACCCACCCATTCACATCACGGTAGGTAACAAATGTGACAGGTGTGTGAGTGCCCCTTGAAATAAACGCCCAAAGTGTTATTAAATAAAAACAGTCACTGAATGAATAGTGAACCACATGTGAACGTACACGCCTACAATGTATAAAGAATAAACAACAAGTAACATGGTATCTGGGATGGGAAACTGTCAAGAAAGGGTCTCAGCTGGGAAGAAATCACTTAGTGTTAATCGTGTTCTTACTTTGTCTAATTAAGAGAGAAACCAGTCGCCAAGCAGTTGCTTGGAAGGATGAATGATGGGTGGAAGGACACACAGGGAGAGACTCGTAGCTTTCAGCGAGTTCTGACCCAGTTAAGTCACAAAGTGCCCCCAGCCTGGAGCGTGGCAAGTGTTTGCCACCCAGCCCACGGGCAGGCAAGGCTCTCTCACAGACCCTCTTCCCTCTTCTCACAAAGCAGCCATGGCTCCGCACAGCTGTACTTTTCTCTCCCACAGTGTGGCTTCTCCTCCTGCTAAACCAATTACAGGGCATGATTATAGCAGCACCAATATTATTTTTTAAAGGTTGATGTTATTCACTAAATACCCATTAAGCCAGTCTCCTTGCTCCATTTACAGCAAGCTGAAGGGCAAACCCAGATGGTACAAATCATGCCAATTCAGGCTCCACTTGCAATGCCAGGGTCTGTCTTAGAAGGCTCCGCTGTCTGACACCCACAGGTGTGTCCAGGTGAGGAGGAGAGTGGCCTTTTGCGAGACAGCTGGGCCCGCTCAGTCCTGGCACACCATCTTCGCACTCCCCCGGAGGGTGCATCTGCCTTCCTATCCGAGCGGTGACGAACAGCTGAGGAGGGTTGCTCTGTAACCTGGTAACAGGCAATGCCTCGCTACCCTGAAGCCAGGGACGGGATTGCATCTTCCTCCCACACAGCCCGGCTCACCACTTAACCCTGGGATGCCCAGGACGATGCAGCAGTTCCAGAAGGTTCTCCTACAAAGCAACCCCTAGTGACCCCTACTTTAACAAGAGCCTTCCCAGGGCCCCACTGGAAAAGGGTGACCCAAGGGAATATCACTATTTTCAGTTTTATTTGGCTGGCAGGCACTGACCATTCCCCCTGCGGCCTTGAGTGTGAAAAACAGGATAGAACAAAATCTGACCAACTTTTTCCACCCAAGAGATGACTTGGAATTATGGATATGAAGTATTTAGAGAAGCTCTAACTCCTTTCATGATTTGGGAGTAGTCTGTGGGTGGTGCAAATCTCTAACATGATCAGCGGTTATCAAAAGGTAATCAAATGTCTGAGTTCATCCAGGGTACCTTGGAAGAAATGCCTGGTGATCACCTTCCAAACAAGCATCCATGGATAATGCTGTGAAATCCGATTGTTCTCTCTCTCTCTCTCACACACACACACACACACAAACACACACAAACACAAACGAGGTCCCTAAGAGACAGTCAGACGGAAGACAACTGGTACAAAAGCAACAAACATACCATAGAGTCAGCTCTTCCTCAGGGTGACCCTCCGTTGACTTTTAGAAGCTCTAAGTCTTTGCAAAAGGAGACTTCCTAGCCATTTTCTGTGGAGGAGCTGGTGAATTTGAACCACCAACCTTATGGTTGGCAGCCCAACACCTTATACACTGCAACACCCACCCCCCCATCCTACCCCTCCCAGAGCTCTGAAATTGACAGGAAGGTCTCTGGCCAGGTTTTGACAGGCCTGGCACAGCAAGTAGCCAGCTTTCCTCAAGTAGAGACTCCCACCCTGGTCACATCACACAGTCCCGGACCAGGGTCCTAGAAAAAGGGAGCGGCAGTAACCACAGGGCTGTTTAAACACGAGTACACCAGCAAATGCAATTAAAGGCAGGAGCTTGTGTTGGAGGAATTTGAACTTCCTGATTATTTTAAAATCATCTAGGAAGGTATGAGAGGCCGAAAGGATTGTGTTCTCCATGAAGAATTCACCCAGGACAGAATCGGAGCCAGGATTTTGGATTGGCTCCTGAATGTCCCTTTCCATCCCAGGAACAATAGCCAGGTATCAGTAAGATTCCCCAAGGATCGTCTAAGGACTTGGCTGGTGGTGGGGTGAATACGGAGGCCTGACGGTGCCGTGAGTAAGGGTTTGGATGTTTTCCAAAAGGAACCAGCAGCAGAAATATGCAGTGGTCCACTCCCCTTAAGATTTCCAGCCTCGGAGACCTGACGGAGGGTCACCAGGCCTCAGAACACACTCCCTGAGTCAGAACAGACACATCTGGCCCTCCAGCAAGTTTTCAGAGGCAGTAAACTTCACAGAAAGATGAGGGTGGCCATCTTTCTCCCAGGGAGCATTTGGCGGATTTGAACCACTTCCCTTCAGGCTAGCAGAACACCTTCTCATCCGCTAGGCCACCACAGCTCCCTGCATTCTCAGCAAGGAGTCAAACTGGATGGAATAAGCCAGCTCAGAACCCTGATCTGCACGCAGAACAATGAGAACTGACTGCGATACGGCACTATTATGTCCACATTCACCCTCCACATGGTCTTAGCCCAGACGTGGTGAAAATGCCCAATCAAACAGTGGCGTGGATACCCTAACAGTCTCCCCCAAAGTCACTAACGTGAAAACCAGTCACCAGTTTCTTTCTCCTCCATTCACTCAAGACCAGGAAACCAAGACTGATCTCTGCCATGGCCCAGGTCATTATCAGCCTGGTTTTCATTCCCGATATCACAATCTACAAAGATACAGAAAGGACGAGGGGTAAACACATCCCAGTCTCCCGGGAAATTCGGGTCAAACGTGGTACTTCTAGAATAAGTTCAAAGGGAAAAGAAGCTGTCCAGGCCCCCTCATGCTAGCTGGCCTTTCTTTACATGAGTCAAAGGTCGCATGAGTCAGCAGTAACTGGCCAGAAAGGAAAGTCGTGACCTGAAGCGGGGACCAGCACGGCGCAGGCCCTCTTCAACTTTCACTCGGGGGGACAGCAGTCCAGGCTGCCCACTCCAGCATCCCCAGAGGCTTAGGAGTTGCTAACTGATCACTCCCAAGGGACATGGTCCTTGAAGTGAAGAGAACAGCATCCCCAGATCTGCTCACCCAATGTAAGAAATATCCTGTTTCCCAGATTAATTCCAAAGATTTAAGCCATGAAAAGGTTTACTCGGTGCATCAGCGACAGAAGGACAGTGATAAATGTCACCATGGTCTTTGACCCAAGTTAGCCCACTGCCATCAGAGTGGGGCCCATCCTGGTCATCAAAGACCGCTCTTAACTGTCCACCAAGGAAAAGGTGACACACGAAACTGTGACGCACAATCAATGATCCAAAGGTACCTTCACCCCGTCACACTGAGCAGCGTGTGGAGAGCTAACAAGACGTGAAGGCGCGCGCGCGCGGCCACCCGCCAGCATAGCCCCGTGCCAGGGTGGGTCCAGGAGCTGCAGAGACACGGGGGACCACCCCTGGGTCCCTCTTCACTGCCCCTCCCTCCAAACAAGGCCACGTCCAGACTGCCCAGCCCCGTGGAGGGGCCGCAGCAGGGAGCTTGCCTGAAAGAAGCCCGGCTCTACCTATCCGGATGGAAAGCTCGCTCTCAGAGAAGAGCAGCGTGGGGCTCTCTGCGTCAGACTTCTTCATCAGGTGCGGTTCCAAGTTCAGTGCCAAGGCTGTCTGGAGGTCGTCCGCTGCACTCTGAAACAAGAAACAGTGGCATCACTACGATACCTCTATGCCCTGCATGCCCTGGGCCACTCTGGGTTCACAAGTCCCAGAGGCAAATTAAGACTGGTGGAACCCCAAAGGTTGTGGTCCCTGGGAACCCTTCCAGCCTGGAGCTAAAGTCACTCCCAGTGTCTCTATGTTCAGACAACACACAGGTCTGTGAGGTGAACTCTAACACCAGGAAGGTTCTCATTCCTTACCACACCCAGGCAGAGCAAACCAAAGCATTTGCCCAGGGACAGATAACACTCAGAAGGCAGGAAGGGTGAGGACAGAAGGATGAGTGGAACTGAGCATCACGGGAAGAATGCTGCTATAATGCAGGGGCAGAGCGAATGTTATAAAATATTATAATGTTATAATATTATAAATATTATGTTATAAAACAAAATTGAGTGAACGGCTGAATGGAAAACTAACGTGCTCTAAATGTTCTCGCAAATTATAATCAAACGTTTTACAAAAAGGAAGAAGCAGCCTCCTGGCTCTGCTTGAAAATCCAAACCACACGCACTGTCACTGAGTCAGTTCTGACACACAGCCACCCTCCGAGGCTGTGAATCTTTGCACATTTCCGTTCCTCCTCCCCCAGAACTGTCGGTGACTTTGAACTGTGAACCTTGTGACTAGCATCTCATATGTTAACTTGGAGGAAGACTCATCAACAGCCTCTGCTATGCAGATGACACAATCTTGCTTAGAGAAAGTGAGTAAGACTTGAACATTTGCTGAGGAAGATCAAAGAGTATAGCTGTCAGTATAGATGACACTTCAATAGTGAGAAAACAAAAATCCTCTCCATCAGACCAACAGGCAACATCACGACAGAAGGAGGGAAGGTCGAAGTTTTGAATTATTTCATGTGTATCAACAAGCAACACCTATGGAAGCAGCGGTCAAGAAATGAAAACGCAGAGAGTTCTGGTGGCCTAGTGGCAAGAAACTGCACTGGAATCCCAGAGGCATGCAGTTCAAATCCACCAGATGCTCTGCCGAAGAAGGAGGGGCAATCTCCTCCTGTACCAGTCGGATCCGATTTGACGGTACACGCACACAAAATAATAAAATAAAAATTAAAATTAAAAAAATTTTAAAAAGTGAAAAGAAATGAAAAGCCATGTTGCATTGGGCAGACTCGCTGTCGAGGACCTCTTTACAGTGCTAAATAAAAAGCAAGGATTACCAATTTAAAGACACCTAATAAAAGCCACGGTATTTTCAACTGATTCCTATAAATCTAAAAGTTGAACAGTGAGTGAATCAAGAAGATTGAACGATCGGTGCTTCTGAACTGTGAAGTGGGCGAAGGGTGCTGAATATACCATGAACTTCACCATGAATTTCCTCCAAAAGAACTAACAAGTCTGTCTTGGAGGAAGAGCAGTGCAACCAGGGGCTTCTCAGAGGTAACAATGGTGAGATTTTGCTCACATACATTGAGTATGTTATGAGGAGGGGCCAGTCCCCTCATGCTGGGAGGGAAAGGAAGAGGTCCAGCCTGGGAGAGAGAGGAAGACCCTCAGCAAGATGGACAGATACGAGAGATGGACAGATACGAGGCCTGCATCAAAGGCGGACGGCACCGTGGAGAACCGGGGAGGCTGCAGGACGGAACAAGCTTTCAATCTGCAGCTATAAGTCGTCATGGACTTGACAACCTAACACACCACGGGCCTCATAAATGTTCTCAGGTTCCTGTAGAACGCAAGGGACGGTAGGGGTTTTGCCTCTTCTATCGCTGGGGAGAAGCTCAAAAAGATAATCTGTTACAATGTGTCATAGCCACGGCTGGCACGATGGGTGGCTGGAAACCTCGGGCCACGAGAGCCACGGGGAAGGCCCGTCTCTCCCTCTGCGGCCACCCACGGGCGACAGGCAGCTGACGCCAGTGCCAGATGCCACGGGCCCTGGAGTCACAACTGCTGATTTCTACGCTTTCATTTTTTCTAATTCGGAGGTCTTGACACAGCCGTAAAAGACGAGTATCACTGTGACAGCATGCCAGCTGATGGCCCTTCCTCGGTTTTCCATTGTTAAAATAATGAACCAGGGGCAGGGCAGAGAAAGAGAAACGCTCAGTGACAGCAGGACTGCAGTACTAACATTCCCAGCTATGGGGGTGTATCTGATAGGAGCACATTCCGTCAGGTGAGATCTACAGATCCCCCAGCTCAGATTCACTGTGGTGCTTGCTTCTCAGCCGAGTGCAATTTTTGCCATCTGGGAGAGGGAGCTCTGGAGGCCTAGTGGTAACTAGCTGTGCTGCCAACCCAAAGGTAGGTGGTTCAAATCCACCAGCTGCTCTGTGGAAAAAAGGATGGGTAGTGTTCTCCAGAGCTATTTACTGCCTCTGAAAACCTGCTGGAAGGTCAGCTATGGGTCAGTTCCGACTCCATGGTACACGACGACAACAAGAATAAAGGGACATGTGGCAATGTCACACTGGGGGTTGGAATGGGTGTTGCTTCTAGCATCTCGAGGTCAGAGAGGCCAAGGATACTCTGAAATGTCTGACAGTGCAAAGGACCGGCTTCAACGACACAGAATGACCCAGACCAAAGGCCAGCAGCGGCGTGTCTGAGAAACCCTGCTGTCGAGGGATTTAGGAGCAAGGCGCCCACAGCGCTCTGTGGCACTAGGGCTTCTGGGAACTCATGTGACCCTCTTTTTACTGTGAAGGTGAGGATTTTGTTAATTTAGCTAGGAAGTGCACCCGTTCACCTGTCTGCCTGCCTTCAACAACTCTGTAGTAAAGCCCCACCTCTCTGCCTAAGCCCACCATCCTCACGGATCCTGCGTGTCTGTTTGAGAGACAGACAATAAACTAACAAGCAAACCAGTCAACAGTCAACAGTCACAATGCGTCAAGCAGCAATAACGTCAAGAGCAAGAAATCTCGGCAGTGCGTGATGGCAGTGCAAATACTGAACAGGTGTCCGGTTCTAGGTTTCTGTCTGGTCCGGTTCTGAGCACTTCAGAGGTGCTGGTCCGTGCGGACCAACACGGTGGCTGGAACCATGGACCCAAGCAAGGAGAGACTGAGGATGAGGCCGGTCCGGGCAGGGCTCCGCTCTGCTGTATGTAATGCCGTGTGGATCCCAGCTGACTTAATGGCATCTAACAGCAACAGCCCATTAGTGACAGGAAAGATGCAGTTCCTTCAGCTTAGAAGGAGAGTTAGGGTACCCTGTGAAGGAGGCAGCGGAGGAAAGCCATCAAGGAAAGGAAGCGGCAGCTGGGATTTCGGCTGGAAAGGTCCAGGCAAGGGACAGAAGTCCGGACGCTGACGCCTCTGCTCTCTGCACCGCCGCATGATGCTGTATTGTGTTGGTTCTCATTCATTTGTTTTAGTGTGTTAGGGTGGGGGTGGTAACACCAAGGAGCTCTGGTGATTTTAGTGGGTTTTGTGCTACTAACCCAAAGCTTAGTGGTTCAAGTCCACCGCAGGTTCCAAGGGAGAAAAAGAAAAAGTTTTCTCTTGTAAAGAATCACATCTTAAGGAACTCCATATAGGGCTGCTAGGATGTGAACCTGACAACTGAGTTTTGCAGGAAATCTCACATAGAAGATGCTAGTTTTTCAAAGTTTTCAAGACCCCAAATCGCTCTCCCTGGGCCCACCCTGCCTGACAGGACCTTTCCAATGAAGATTCATCTGTATCTAGATCATCCCCTACCTGGTACCCACCCCCACCATGACTAACCCAGTGCTCCTATGACCTGAATGCCACTACATTCAGCCCTCCAGAGGGCTGGGGGCAGGTAATCATGGCCAAAGCTGTAGGAAACCTCTCTAGAATAACAAGCAGGCCAGCGTCCTCTCCATCCCCACGCCTGGTCATGCTGTATGTCCTCAGATCCCGGCACAACCACCAGGGATCTTCTCAGACTCTCTTCTGGGAATCTTGACATCCTCACTCCCAACTATTGATGGGAACAACAGAGACAGCTGTCCCTTGGGATTCCTGGGGACAAATGGCTATCCTTCCCTGGTGGTTTATGGTAATACTGGTGGCGGTAGAGGACAAGGGCCAGGAGATCCCCTCTGCAGCAAACATGGCTTCTAGGTGATGAGGCCCCAGTTCCATGGGACCCTAAGGGCTACTGGGACAGAAGAGCGAGAATGTCTTTCTGAAGCCCTGGTAAGCTTTGGCTTGGTTTGTGCCAGAGAGAAATTCTTTCCCAAGTTCCTCTTTCCTTTGTTAACCGTATACACCCACACTGTCTTAGCATTATCCAGTTTTTACATCTTCAGAGACTTACTTAGTTTTAATCTCAGCAAAGCTTTTCCATGTACGCGTTCTCACTTGATCTTTGCTGGTCCCATGAGGTCAGCCCAATGGAAAGAATGGCCGCTTCCAGGACAAACTTTTGACTAATGCAAGATATTCTCGATTTGTCCCCACAGACCTGAGAGTTCACTCTGCTGCCAGCAGCGATGTAATGAGTCACTCTCCTCACTGTGGCAGAGCTGGGGCTGGGCCACCAGGGCTTTGCACATTCAGGTTTGCTGTGTCACCTAGCGTTTCCTAAATGTCACTGCCAAAACCAGCCTCCTTCCCAAGTTAAAAGCTTCCTTTATCCTTCTTCAACACTAGGCCACTTTCCTCTTCCCTTGTACTCCTCCAAATGCAGCTCATGGCAGGACAGTGAGATGATGGTGGTGGTGGTGGTGGTGATGGTGGTGATGATGGTAACATGGGAGGTGGTGATGGTAATGGTGGTGATGATGAAGATGGCAATGGTGATTACGGTGGTGGTGGTGATGGTGATGGTGGTGCTGATGGTGAGGATGGTGGTGGTGATGGTGGTAGTAGTGATGGTGCTGGTGGTGCTGATGGTGGTGGTGGTGGTAGAGGAGATGGTGGTGATGGTGGTGGCAGTGGTGATGGTGGTGGTGGTGGTGATGGTGGTGGTAGTGATGGTGCTGGTGGTGGTGGTGATGCTGATGGTGGTGGTGGTGATGGTCAT